AACAGGTCTAGGCATCCTATTACATGTATAGGCTTAAATGCTACAAAATGACCCATGAAGTCAACACAAAAGGCTGCAATGATAGATGGGAAAACTGTAACAACTAGGAAGAAAAGGACTTTCCTCAACTGTTGGGGGGCAAAATATGAGCATTTTTCAGTTGATTCAGGACCAGAATCAAATTTTTTTTTTTTTTGCAAATCAGAAAAAAATGAAGAAGCGAATCCGAGAACCAACAAATTAAATTGGTGTGGCCTTAGTACTCTTTATTTTCATTTCTTCACATTTTCTTCATTTCCTTTGGAATTGGCATTCTATGACATTAACGTTAGTATTGTTTTCCAATATTGCAATATTGCAATTTACGGCAAATATTTGCCCATTTAGCTGCTTAAGTATAATTTATGGTATGGTTGAAAACTTTTTTTTCTTTTTGGAAACGAACGAAAATTCATGCGCACCCGGATGTCATCCATATAATCAAAAATCAACATGGCCTAACTATTCAGCACCAAGGACAGCACCATCTAGTTTTACCACTCTCATTCAACCAGTTATTTTATGTCAGACAATATGATGTAATGTCGTCAATGAGCTTTAAACATTTCCTTCAATATCCCTGGGGACCAATTTCATTTATTATGTCCATGTAAAATATTAGGATCGGAAGAAAATTGTGAAAAATGCAAGGAAAGTAGCAAAATACAGGAAAAGCAGGGGGAATATACATTATCCTGTAATTATTTTATTCCATAAGTAGCGCCCTTAATGCATAGCTGCCATAATTCATTGAATGTAAAGTAAATTGTTCATGCCATAATTATTTATGAAAAGTTTAAAGTTGATTGATGTAATACATTATGAAGGGTACAAGTGGTACCCATGGTGCATTGCGAAATAGAACCCGGGAGATGCGAATCAAGATGGCGGCCGTGCTTGGAACTGGAAGGGACACCTCGGGCAAAAATCGTCCTTGTAGGCTGTTTAACGTCAGTTTTAGGAGGTAAGTTACTGTCAGGTTGTTTCCTAAGTCCTTCCTCGTCATTTCAAGCAAAAATGTTTGAAAAGTCGGAAGCAACATCGTGGAAAATTTCGGGGTTTTTGTTTAGAAGAAGACTAAAAGACTGCTGTCGTCTGCAATCTCCAAGCAGATGTTGGGTGGGCGTGGCAACGTTCAGTGCTGGACACATTGTTCTTGTAGGGGACGGGCTTCTGTGCATGAAAAAATGTTTTACAACGTTTTTGGTTGCAAACTTTTACATTATTTTATCATTCCACATCTGTTACGCTGTTACCTGACTTCGTGGTTTAAACTTTAAGATTTTAGGTCTCTTTGGAATAAGCCATTTTGCACATCTTTTAAACACAAAACTTTTTTCAAACATAGACAGAATGAGATTTTTTTACTGTATAATGCAATAAGACTTTATTCCCTTTCGTGTAATAATTCTATTTCTTCTTAATTAATGCATCACGTTATATAAAATCCCCACATCCAACCATTTCCCTTTCAGTGAATAAAAGCACTAACAAAATCACCACTCCCCTAATAATTAGTTTATCAAGCCTTAACCGCCATGCCTTCAAAATCATACATATAATGCATTAGTTGTAGAAACATATTAGTAAAAATAAGCTGAAAACAATATATATTGATGAATGTTTGATCCAGGTTGCTCAGGTTTACATTCCAATCTGAGATTCAAAACTACCGGACACTCTCAACTAGAGCTGTGTACCGGTACGCAGTACCGATACTGTACCAGAAAAATTGATTAGGTACAGGTCCAAAATACCTACTCCCTCAGTACCGGTACTGTACCTAAACAATTTCACACCAATTTTATGCCTATTTGTGACCTCAAATGTGTATAAAGGTGGTTAACAATGGGTCCCTGTGTAAGGACAGCGTGTTCATGAAAACAAAACACTTAGTTTTGCCTATATTTTATCTGAGCATTCGCCATGAACAAAGAATAAACCTTAACTATCAAGTTTATTTATGTTTTTTTTTGTTATTGAAGGAGTTCAGAAGACCATATAAATTGGTCGAATTGTTCAGGTACAGGTTCAGGTCCGGACCTGTACCTAAACCTGTGTACCTGTACCTGTACCTGTACCTAAAATTTGTTTAGGTACACAGCTCTACTCTCAACCAGTACAAAAAAAATCAGACTACCAAAACCAAACTCCAACTCTCAGAAAAGGTGCTTTCTGTACAGAATGTCACAATTCTGGAACAACACAGGCGACAACTAGCAAAGTATTGGACTGTAAATAGTGTATTTAAGGAATTGTATGTTCCTCTTCAATTGTAATACATGTATGTATAATATGAATTTAATGTGTAGACCACAGGAAGAATAGCCTTTTATGAGGCTAATTGTGGATCTAAATAAAACTCAAACTCAGGTTACTCAGGCAACTGGATAGAGTTTGGAAGCTGTCAGACATTGCAAGTACATATAGCATCCACTACGTTTCATCACCAATGAGTAGGGGATGCTATTTGAAACGTCTGACAGTTTTCAAAATCTATCCACAGTTGCTTGACTATGAGTATGACTTTTTTCTTATGAATAAGAAAAAAAACACAACAACAATGAAGCAAAAAATAGAGAACTCTAAATAATATATATAGTTTGTTGTTTTACATTTTTGAGAACATATTTCAGCACTCACACCATAAAGACACTGCATTTTCTTACACAGTTTTTAGTTACTACTTGAACCTCGTATTACTTAAGTGGCACAACTGGTGTGTTAACTGGTTAATATTTGATCTACATTTACAAGCAATATGAAGGGTGGATTATACAAATCATACATCATTAAGTATTATCAGAAATCAGTCATACGATTTCAAAAGTCAATGAAATACGAATTGATCATAGTAAATTAAAACAAAATGCAATACTTTTTAACAGATAGCTAAGGGCTAAGCCATTTAAGTTGCAATCAGGTGACTTTGGTTGGCAATCATGTGATTTAGGCCAGTCAGTTCAACTTTCTACTCCCTTGGAATGGCATGAAGATCAAAATCTTCGGCCGTATTTGCAAACCCAACTTTTCCCATGGTGGATGGTAGAGGGGCGCCCTCTGGCAGTTTGAAGGTGAAGTGCTGCATGAGGGAGGTGAAGAACAGGAACAGCTCCATCCTGGCCAGCTGTTCCCCCAGGCACACACGCCGACCTGGCAACAGAACACAGAGCTCACATTGAAGACAGCATTATGTAATGTAAGGACCAAACAAAAATTTGCTCCCAAAATAGGTTTTAAAGGCCCCTACACTCCTGTAAAAAAATTCTGGTGAGAACCCTGTATTTATGATATTGTGATGATGTACATTTGTATGTCCGTTCGACAAAATTTTGCAACTTACCCATGGAGAATGGAATGAAGTTGTCCCCCTTTCTGATCTGACCGCTGTCGTCCAGAAACCTCTCAGGTTTGAAGACATCCGGCTCAGGGTAGACCTCGGGATCATGCAGAACTGCCCAGAGGTTGG